GTAAACTATATATATATACACACACACACTCATCTAAACACACACACACACACACTCATCTAAACACACACACACACACACTCATCTAAACTACAATCATCTTTTAAATTTTAAAAAATATAAACATTATAATAAAGTTTATCTTTTCATCATTTCAGACTGAAATTTTGGAATTGCATGATACTAAGTCAAAGATGTTAGGTTAATGTGTTATATTTTCTTTTCAAAACTTTTAATATTTTACATATTTATCTTTGATATTCCCTTTTTGCCCAATATTTATAGTTATGCATTTTGAGAGTAGTATTTAAAATTAGAAGTATTCTATTATTTATCATAAACTTATTTTTGTCTATATTTTTATATAGAGAGAATGCTAATCTGAAATAAGATTATTATCTCTCTATATTTATGTATATATATATTTAAAAGTAGGGCTTTATAACACTGTTATGAATGCTGGAATTTTATTATGATAAATGAATGGTTATGGTTTACTTTATACTGGGGTAGAGTAGGGTTTGATAATATATAATTTTTCTCTATGTTAGAATTAAATATATCATAAAATTCCTGAATAGTATATAGATAGGTTTAATATAATTAAATTGTAGTTGTTTTTCATGTATAAAAATTATGTAGGATTAAGTGTTAGAAACTTTGATAATATATGATAATATATATATATGTTAGCCATTTTAAAACTCAATATATTTAATTTTATTTATGTTTTTTTAAAATAACAATAAGATTACTGATAAAAAATTATTTTACACAAGATTTATAATCATAATTATAATTTTTAACATAATAATAATTATAAGATATATAGTTAAACATAATATAATATTTATATTAAAAATCCCTTCTACAATTGACTCTATCAGCAACACACATCATTACATAATAAATAAAACTCATAACATTGTATCTTCAATCTTTTATAAGTGGAATTACTCATTATGAGATCCCACTCTTAAAGATGGGTTCAATACAAATGGTTGTATGAGTGAAAATCCAGAAACTTAATATTTTGTGAGAGGAAGAAGCTAAAGCTTTAAAAGATCATATATGTATATAGATGCTCATAGTGGCAGTGGTAGTGATTATTATTTTGTATTCTACTCTATATGACCTACCATATTTGGTATGATCTATATCATAGACTCAGTTTTAGAAATAAAAAATTAGTCTATGTACTAAAATTGAAATTATATTATTAAGCTAGATGCATATTATAATATTTATATTAAATTATTGATAATTTTAGTGATAATAATATAATACTGTATTAAAATTATACATTAGTGATAATATAATATTTTAATATTTAAAATTATTTATTAATTCACATATTTATATGTAACAAAAATTTTATTTATTAAATCTATTCTGTAGCAATGTTTGCCAATACTTAGTTAATTTAAACAGTTTTTAACTAATTACATTATTACAAATTGTTTTAATCATTCATCAACTTCTACACAACATTAGTTTTGAAAGCTCCAGCTTGGCTTATACTTAGAAACTTGATACCACACACAACAAATTATAAAACAATAGTAGAAAGAAATAAAACATACTTTTTGTTTTCTCACACATTTTTTCTTTTAAGTGTCAAGACCAACTATAATTTTTTGGTATCTCTGTAGCTCTCGAGCTTGCAACGAATCTTCAGATTGTACATCTTTGATCAAATAGAGTCCATTACGGTTGAAAAAACAGTATAATCATCATCTTGTAGCGCAGCCAGCTTACATGCAGGCATATCTACAATTTCATTAGCATCATCAAATGCAACCGCCTATATATGTCCAGTGCTGTCCAGAATACACAAGTGTAGTGCATATTTGAAGTGAATATCTCCAGAATCAGTGTCACAAGAGTTGCATTGCCACATACTTTCCGAAACCTGAGTAACCTTCTTGCCACATTGGCTCCCATTGACAACCTTCACGCATGCTGGGTAATAGAAGTCACCAGTCTGGAATTCTTTCACTGACACAATAACATGAAAAATAGCAGAGAACTTGGAAACCTTCAGGTTGATAGACAACATCTCAGATACTGTCTTTGTACCAGAAATCACTTCTTTAGAAGAAGAGTTGGTCACATGGACAAATATGGTTGTGTTGTAGCTAGCAACCATCCATTCACACAGCCATGAGACATCTTCTAATTCAGGATCAACTAAAAGGGTAGAGCCACCTGTGACTGAAATAGACTTGCCATTGTAATCTGAAATCCAGCTGCCCTTCAGGCATACAGTAGGCTTCTGCCCTCGTCCAGGTTTCTCCTCGATTTCTGAACCTTCATCTTCGGCCTTTGAATCCCACAGACATGTCTATACTGTGGCCTGATTCATCACTCAAAGAAAGCATCCTCCTTCTCATGAATGCTCCAGAATCCTTAGGAGAAATGTTTGTCCATTCCACATTACACCACCAATCACGTCTATAAATGTCTCTTGGCCGAGCTTAGAAGCATCTAAAACACTCATTCTATTAAGAACAACATTTGGAATACGTAGATCGTCCTCTACACACTTGATCTCCATAGTCTTGCTTGCTTTTATCTCCCAATTTGATTTATATGGTGTATATGCTGGTTTAGAGTGTTGTATACCACTGTTCCCTGAAAATATATAGACACTGCCTTGCTCAATCTCATGAAAGATGCTTTGCATTCATGCCAAACCCAACAATATGTATTTTGGAACTTTATGCATCGGCAACAGCAACTGACATAACACACCCAGCTGTGCCTGTTTCAAAGAATACAAGTTTCCCTTTGTGTCTCACCTTGGCATGAAAAGACCATCGGTAGCAGTGGCCCCTGATGTTCTTATATGGCATCTCAGCTTCTTAGAACTCTGTCCCTTAACATGAAACAGAGAAAAAAAATTAAAAATGTTATATACATACATAATGTAATTAGTTACAAACAATTTGTAACTAAATAACTAATTTGTAATGTATTTAGACAAAACTAACATTAGTAGTCGTAGTGCTTTACATTTGTGTTTATTTTTTATAAAAGAAATATCAGAAGACAAATCTGGGAGTGTCATATATATTTCAGTTCTTGGCTTTTCGTTTATATTGTTTCTTTATATTAACAAAGAAATATTCAAGCATGAGATTTCATAGGTGGTTATGTTAAAGGTTTTGAATATGAAAGTGTGGGAAAGCTTACTTGATTGTAAGAAGAAGTTCAGCCTTTTCTATATCATGATTTTTAAATACATATTCTGTAATTACATTAACCTTGAAGGATATGCACTCTAGTGTTCATTGGATCACCAATGAAAGGCACATTGATATTGTAAACATCTATCACTTTGGCTTCAGTTCTGTCATCTTGGACCATTACACAACTTTGCAATCTCTAGAGACAGACCAGATATTCTTCTGGCTGCTTGCTGAGCAGAACATTAAGTTGTAGTTATCTGCGCAAGTAGAGTATGTCATAATCCATGAGTTTTTTTCACGAACGTGCCTCAACAATCCACACACAGCAGGCCTGTATATTTGATTGGAGTATATGAAGCAGTGTGATCCATGCAATGCAATTATACACATCTCTTTCCAGGTATGTAATACATTAGTGGGAGAATTAGGAATGTTTGTAAACAGCTGATTTACAAACCTTCTGATGTTGAAAGGTTAGGAATATATTCAATGGAATCGTTGCCCCCATCAATGAAAGTTCCCATGTAAGTCAATGCTTGAAGTGCCTAAAAAAAGATAAACAAATCACAAACTTTAATGAGCATATCACCTCAAGTGCTGGGTTCTTTCAAATGTTCCCCTGCAAAGATCTAGTGCATTGTTCTAGACTCTAACAATTTCTGCATAAAAGCTTCATCAGAAATCAAAGAGTAAAGGCACAGATGTAAAGGCAAAGGTTTATTTTTTTTAAGGAATGTCAAAGTTCCTTTGTTCCATACAGTTGATCAACAAAATGCGAAGGTATAGCTACTTGGAACGTGTCTTGTCCAAGGTGAAGCTGGGTGATGTGTTCCTTTATAGGTCCTGCATATTTACATATTTTACATATTGCTTCATCTTTAGAAGTTTGTTGCAATCTTGATCCGCAGCATAATGAACAAACTGTGTGTATAAAAACTGGACAGAGCTTATCTACTTCAAAGTATCCAGGTATCTGCAAAACAACGTGTATTTAATATGGGCTTGTTTCATTTCCTTTCGCACTTACCCCTGTGCATTCCCTTGCAATATTCCGAAAAAGTCCCAGCTACGCTGGGAGCATAGTGCATTGTATACATTGTACATTGTATACATAGAATATTGCATTCCCTTGCAATATTCCGAAAAACAGTGTCAAGGAACTATTTTGGCATCATCTATTATACATGAAACAATGCTCATGCCTGTGACATTTGCTCTCTTGAATAACCGTCTCCTTGTAAATTAATGAAACATCTTGTTGGTGGAGTTCCAGAAAAACATTCATTCATCAACTCTTTGAATAATTCCATTATGTTGCCATGGAATTTGAGCTGTCATCATATAGATTATTGTCAGGGATCCACATGCTATATTGAACTTACTATATCATATCAGACTCGTTGATGTTATCTGTTATTGTGAGTTGACCACTGTTGTAGCCTATATCATTGATACTCACTACAACACCTTCAACAGAACCTACAGAGTCTCGGCCTCTACATGACTCCACAAAGTTTGCAATGCTGATAGTTGGTACAGACAGACGAAATTGTGGCACTATAAGCTATTACCTAAAAGCTTACGTTTTCTTCCTAGCATAATAGATGCTCATCATTGTGGTGGGTCAATAAAAAGAGGAGATGCACTGGGCCTGGGTTGGAACTCAAGTCATCATGTTGTTTCGCATTTCTCTAGCATGACTCCACATTCAAATATATATAGCCACAGATACCACCTACTCACAAATAAACTGGAGATAACCATAAAGGAAGTGCATAGAAAGAAAAATAGGCAGCTAGCCTCTTCCCACTCTTTCATGCACTGTGGTCCATGCACTGTGTGCGAGTGGAATCCCGAATGGGACAGCCTTTTGCCCGATGAGCAGGCCAGGCTCAAGGCTCGGCAGGGCGTGAAATACGTTTGCCTCGATGGCTTACAGGTGCTCAACTCCGAGCTAGCAAGCAAAAAAATTTAGCAGAAGCAGCGAGCGAGTAAGGAGTGACGAAGAACCAAACAAATAAGACAAATACATTATCAGAGATGAAACTCTAGAACCGGTTGCCAAGGACGGTGTCACCATTGGCGAAGTTTGCATACGTGGGAACATGGTGTTCAAGGGATACTTGAACAATCCAGACTCTGGGGACTTGGCAGTTTGGCATCCCAATGGATACATCAAGATCAAGGATCGAGCCAAGGATATTATCATTTCTGGAGGGGAGAACATTAGCAGCCTGGAAGTGGAGAGCATCTTGTACAGGTAAAAGGAGAGTTTTTCCTTCTTTGTTTCTTGTTAAAGTTTGCTTCTTTTTCATCCAGGCATCCAGCAGTGTTGGAAGCTGCTGTGGTGGCGCAGCCAGATGAGCAGTGGTCCATGTGCGTTTGTGTCCCTCAAGCACGGCGTGAGAAGCAACAAGGAGGAGATACTCTTGTTGTATCGACAGCATTTACCGAAGTTCATGGTGCCAAAGAGCATCGTCATTCTCACAGCCTTGGACAAAACTGCGACTGGCAAGATCCAAAAACAGGTGCTGTGCAGCAAAGCAAGAGCTCTTGGCAGTGTCAAGTAAATCAGCAAGCTTTACAAGCCAACTATTGAACTTGTAAAGCTTGAAATCGTTCATGGCCTGGAAAATCCCCAATCTAGCTTGGCAATTTTAAATCGGTCAGCTACTGTCCGTCCGTTGTAATGTACTGGAATGAAAAATAAATAAATAACATGCAAGAACCAAGAATGCAATTCATCTACCTCAAACAGTAGCTTTGTCTTATCGGCTGTCACTCTTGCATATCCAAATGCCGACCTTCGAATCAAGCTCCATGAACTAAACTGTCGACAAAAAAAATAGAAAAGGTAGAATATCAATACCATATAAAGAGCTTGAATATAGGAAACAAAGCTGCAAGCTTACATTATGAGGGAAGTCATCCAAGGTGAATTCAGCCATGCCAACCACGGTGTGAACTGGAGCTGAGTAAATTGTAGTGTCAAAGAAATCGACGCCCGCTAAATCCTTGATCGGGTGCTGCAGGCAGCGCCCTGAAACACAGCACAAGTTCGCAGGTAATTGTGAACATGCCCCCACACTGCTAAATCAACCTGTGCAAAAAAAAAAAGAAAAAAGAAAAAAGACAGTTTCATTCTAGTTTTCCCTTTGAAGAGCTCGTGTTTTACCTTGTTTCTCAAGAGCAATGGTTCCACAGCTGCTACAAATTTCGGATCCACACCTGGTAAAGTTTAGAAATAAATCCCCCGCAGTTGAGTGGAGTACATAGGTCGATGACTGAAAGAAAAATAGCACACATGAGTTTACAGAATGAAAATGTGAATAAAAACAGTTACCCTGTGAAAACTATCCATGGTGTACTGAATGTGCCGACAGATTCAAGGTCAGATTTCATCCAAGCGTACTGTAGAAGAAGGTTTCGTTGAAGGAAAGATGAAAAGAATAAGAATGCATACTTGTTTGCTGGTCGAGCTCCAGTCGTGTTCTGTAGAGATGACTGTGAAATGCATGGGGCCAATAGCCATGGAGCCGTGGAGCTGTGGCTGTCCCGAGGAGAAGTACAGGGACGAATTTTTTTTTTTTTCTCTTGGTTCCAGCCTCGAGCACCTGGCACAAACAGGAACTTTAAGCCTCGAAAGAGAATAGCAAAAAGCAACAGAGTGAAAAACCTTGATTCTAGTCGTGGTTCCAGCCTCGAGAACCTGGAACAAATAGGGGCTTGAGAGTCTCGAAAAAAGACTGTCATTTTTCCGGCGCATGGCCATTGACAACGGTTTGCTGAGCTTTTCAATCGGTAGAAGCTTCAGATCTTCACGTACAGCTGACTGTAGCTCTGAGGTGCTCTGCAATGAAGACCGCATCAAACACACACACACACAGAGACAGAGAGAGAGAGAGAGAGAGAGAGAGAGAGAGAGAGAGAGAGTACCTTCCCACAAGCGATGATCGACGCTCTCTCCTCGTGCTCACGCGCCCTAAAAGACAATTAAAAGTTTTTATGATCCCAAAAGTCACGACCCCCCATTGTTTAATCTCAGCCGTTAGATTTTGGCATATGCCCAGAATAAGTGACGCCAGCATATGCTATTATTATACCGGCTCTTTCGTTTAAATATATGAGTTTGATGATGATGATGATATATATTGCCTTTACCAACATAATGTTTAGCCATCAAAATGTTAGTTTCTTGTACTGTAGAACTTCCAATCTAAAAAAATAAACACTGCCATCTCAATCTAATGCTGCTATCAAACTGCCATCTGTATGCACTTTCTTCCTTGTGTTATTTGTCTTTCCAACTTACATGTGTCTTCTCCTTGCGACCACCAGTCAGAAGTTCCATTTGGCAAGGGGCATCTTTGCCACATCAAATGTCTCTTGCTATAACAAGAGCAACTAATGCATGATTCTTTTTGCCAGGCTTAGGAGTGTGGGATACGTCTAGCAGCTATGGCGAGTACGCTGACGGGGATGGTGGGGATGGTGGGCATGGTGGTGATGGTGGCGATGGAGGGGGTGCAGTGGCTGCAGTGGCTGTGGCGGCTGTGGTGGCTTCTACAAATAAGCTTGAGGTTCGAGCCTCGATAGTAGTATGCTGACAACAATCATCCTTCCAGCTCAACACTGGAGGGACGGTGGAAACTACCCTAGCTAGAGTAAAGTAGGGGCGGGGGGAATTCCCAGAGGTGAGCTCTATCTCCATCCTCCAATAGGATGTTCTCATTGCATATTTTGATGTGCTTGCAATCATGCAAAAAAAATTGTATAGTCATCTAAATATAGAGAATGAAGATCCAAAGACAGTTCCTTTAAAGCAAAGGCATAGAACAAAGCTTTGAACACTTGTTCTATGTTAGGAAAACTTGTTTCTATCTCCCAGGATTAAATCAGGGTCCTCAAAGACCAATCCCTAGCCAATTCGCAACGCTTAAGCACCTGAACCCTCAATTAGGTTGAAAAATAATATATTGGCTGACTAATCTCCCAATAGGCACAGGCCTGCAATTCCTTGCAACACCCAGTAGTCTGGATTTGTTTCTGGGCTTATTCTTAAGCTTATGTTGAGAATGTAATTCGAGGATGCACCAGTGGTCGTCAGCACTCCTGCCCTTACATGTGTTTTATAAAGTGGACATTGATACTCATCCGCTGGGGGCTTGTAGTTAACAACAGGAATAAAATGAACCACTGGTAATTTGGAGTGCATTTTTCCTACATTCAAAAACATCGAGTAGTAAATAAGAAAAAAGAAAAAGGCAAGAATACCTGGCAATGCCTCCGTTAGCCACCTGTGCTTTCTATCCCACCTTGCTCCATCCAAAAACAAGCCGCTTATGTACACCCCATCCTCTGGAGGAACGTCAACCTCATCCAAATCTTCCATTGTCATCACTTTGAAGCCAAAATTAAGGGTATCGATTGGTATCTGATACTTCCTTGCATGCGTTTGCAATGCTCCCGTCATAAAGCCCTGAGCTCAGTAGATAAGATTTATTACATTAATTTAGTAAATACCTGAGGGAAGAAGAAGCCTGGTAACCAGAAGCATTTAGGGGTTCCTTCTTTTATCCAAGTTGACATAAACTCCATGCGCTTATGAAAATCGATAATCCATGATGACAGTGGCTTCAGGGACGGATAAGCGACGGCTTGCCATAGTGCCGGAACTTGATTATTGAGAAAATTGTTGAACATGCTCTCAAGCTCCGCAGACATAACAACTAAACCTTTGATGGCCCGTTGTAGCTCCAAGAGTGTGAAGGTAATAACCTTCAGCAATTTATTAAAACGCTCCGATTCCTGCATAGTCATTAATTCTTTGGTAACTATACTAACTCACATACCTGAGTTAAAACAATGGCCAGTGACGTAAGCTGGCCATCTAGTCCAAGGACAAGCGCTGGGGACTCTGGGTCTAGTTTCAAGGGTCCTGGAAGCTTTTCTGCTATGGCCATTGCAAGTTCTGATACAATCTCGTCAGGTGTTTTCCCCCCTGCTGCGACAGCAGTCGTCCTCGGCTGAATGCCTAAAACTGTGTTAAAAACCTTCGACGTTTCTTGCAATTGAAATGTGAGATTCGCATTTTCATGCATGCCAAACACATCTGGCCCCTCTGTCGCTGGGAGCCTTTTAATGTATTCTACATAGAAGGTGTACATTCCTTCGGGTGGTGACATGTACGTCCTCGATGGTGTGAAGGCGTATTCATCAGATAAAACAGCGGGGTCATAGTAACGCCTGAGAGTGCTCAATAAGCATCTTCTATCCAAATCATCAGTAACACGTCCTCCATAGGTGATTTCGCCTGCAAATCCCAAATCTCTTAGCACGTTTATCCTTTAATATGTCACTGATCACCTGTTACATATAAAAGAGCTGGCCACGGGATTTCTTCTTGCTCCTCCAGAAACATATGCAATGTTTGCATTGCACACTCTAGGTCGCTGCTGTTGAAGTCGTATTTAACATTCCAGCCCAAAGGCCCAAACTTCCTTCGCTCTTGTATGACCGCGTGAAAGAAAGCGATCGAAAACACGAGCTTTTTCCACGGCCCTCTCTTTGTACAGTTTTCAATATAATCTTCTGGAATATTTGCATAAGATTGTAGAAGGTTTGCTCTGACTCCTTTGGGAGGTTCGTTTGTGATCTTGATGCCGTTCTGGTATACAGCTTGGCATTAACTATATAAAGTCAAAAGGAAAAAGGTGTACCTGAAGGACTGGAACTGGAAAGTATTTGCTCGGAAGAGATGTCAGCCACAGCCGAAATTCTGGATGTATTTCTTCTCTCTCGGGAATAAATTTCTCTACCAGCCTCTCTAGTGTGGTCATCCACGAGCTTGCCAGATGACAGTTTTGCAAACACACCCAGTCTCCTGCTTTTCTTGATTTTGCCATAAGCATCTCCGCAATCGGACCCTGCCCTTGTCCCAAGGATATCATATGTAGACGTTCTCCTGGCTTTTTGTCAACTTTCTCTGCAAATCTTTGGAGCATTCCTGTTGGATCAGCTCCAGTAGACAGAATGAATATGACTGGAGTTGTGTTGGTGGAATCCTTGAAGACTTCTTCAAGTTGCAAAGGACTACTTCCAATAAATGACGGACCAAGCTTCAGCCTGATGTAGTTCTCAACTGCGTATACAACTTTCTCTTCCCTCAGTGTCTTCATCAGAAGCAAACGGTGGAATGGCAGAATTCTGTCGTCCAGATGGGACGGGAAAGGCGTGTTGTGGGGCTCGGGTACCTTGAGAAAAGCCTTCCATTCTAACATTTGGTCAGCCATTGCCTTTGTAACCCCTGCAAAATAGTCTTTAAAAGTATCTTCTAGTGCACAAACATCGTTCCACATTTTTTCACTCAGAATGTCTGGAGCTGGATTTGGTGGCTTCATTTTTGGCAGGCTCGAGGCTCCTCTCAGGAAAAAGCTCCATTCTGGTGGACTGATTTCTCCTTCATATCTTAATATGGAAGTGCAGATGAGAAAAGAAAACGTCACCTTGTGTTCCTCAAAAAGTCCTCTACTCACGTTAGCATAAAGGAATTCCGTGATGAACTTGATTAGGATACCCAGGCGGATGTCCAGCTCGTCCGCCTTCTCGCTGATATCAATACATCGATTAAAGAGCTGAGAAAAGAAAGATAGGGAATACTGGTACATCGAATCAATCAGTGCGAGGTCCGAAATCACAAAATAGAGTATGGAACCTCGCTTTGCAACCACACGGTACAGTTCACGAGCAGCAGTGATTTCTTTCTCTGTGATTTCAGCTTGTTTAACACGCTTCTGGATCACAGCAGATGTTACTTTCGAGGTGTTGAGCGTGTTGATAAGCACTTCATCGTCTAGAATGTTTCCCTCACTCTCTTTGAGAAGTTTCAAAATTTTGTCTTCCAAGTCTTTCAGCTGCTTCTTATCACTACTTATACTCACCACTAAACGGTCATTTTGCTCTTCTAAATCTGCTCTTTCCTTTCTCACCACATCACCAAGAAGCTGATCCTCCAGCCCCTTCATTGTAACAGTAAAATTCACTAGCGTCACCTTAATACATATGTCAGGCATGTAATGTGGATTTGACATTTTTGTTGTCATATACAATTTAAAATTAGGATCATAGTCAACGTCAGTATCCCCAAGCCTTATGAGGAACCTTCCTTTCTTCTCAAATATCTGCTTCTGAAGAATCGGTTCTAGAGATGGATCGATGGTGTCACCAAGATCCTCTAGAAGAACCGGGTTGCCAATCCTGATGCTACTCTCTAGTGTTCGTAGAAGATTTGGATCGTTGAGTCTCAAAACGCGTAGGCCATTTTTGGATTCCATGGCTTTTACCCAGTTATTTGCTTGTCCCTGTGGGTCAATCATCAGAGGCCATCTTTTTCCACGAGTAACCAGAATTCCATTATCAACGGACACATCATCTGTAGGAAGGCCCCATATACTCCATTCTCTCACTTCAACAGGTGTTGACAATATCGCTCTGAGTGAGCAAATCTCGGAGACTGGAATTTGGTCCCCCTGGTTCGTTAACAGAGTTCAAACATAAGAAAGGAATAAAACTCAAAACAAACCTGTAGCCTTGCCACCCACTGATTTACAAGGGCCTCTCTGTAGACCCCAGAGAATGCACCATAGTAGGAGATACAAGCGGCACAGATGAAAACGTCTCCAACAAACAAGATTCTCTTCGTGGCAATGTCATCCGCAGTTTCCCTCCACCTCACCTGACAAAAAAGTTAAATAGAAGACAAAGATAGGGGAAGTCTCAAAAGTTTACCGATTCATCTGCCAAAGCGGAAGTCAATTTCCCTGCTCTGACGAGACGGTTTTCTGTGAGTGCAGCTTGATCTTGTAGGGCTTTCTGCTCAGCTTCCGTGTTTTGTAGATTCTTTTTGAGAACTTCCACTTGTGCTTCCACATCCGCGAGTTGCTTCTGCTTGGAGGCAAGCTTCTCAGCCGCTATTTTTAAAGCTTCTTCCGCTTTCCTCAGTGTCTATGATGAATGGTAAATTAGTATGAACAGTTAAAATTCCAGATTGTACCTCTTTTTTTGGAGCGACCACTTTTGCGACTTTGGCGTATACATCCATTGCACGAACCCACATGCAAAGACTTGTTGCTGCCGCGCTTTGTTTTTGCACAATTTCCGGTAAAAAATTGGGATCCTCTATGTATCTAACAAGCTTTTTTTGTATTAGAGGTGTAATCGCGTCTTTGTCATACTCTATAAGCCTTTTAATAAACTGAACGTCACTCATGACCTGCAGCAATTGTCCACCTAAAAAATAAGAGGTCATGCATATGTTAAACGAACCTTTTTTGAAGTGTCCCAATCAGGCTTCTCTCCAAGCAAAACACAAACTCCTTCCATTGTGAGAAGCACTAAAGGTGGTGGCTTGGTAAATGATTTTATTTCCGTTATGTCATTCTTGTTTAGAGAATTCAGTGCTTGAACAGCTGCGTTAAGAGCCGGCATAGCAGCATCCAGGTCCTTCTGGGCATCATCTTTGATTAGCTGAGTTGCCTCTGCTTGAGACTTGACATCAGCTTCTTCTGTTTGAACAACTTCTTTCACCTAACGGAAACAGAAAATGAATTACGGAAAAAAAAACTATAAATTTTAACCTTTTGTGCACTTTCTTGATCGCGAGCGACTTGAGCAAGTAGCTTTGCGGTTGCCTCTGCTTTCTCGGCAAGGATTGGCTGCAGCTTATTTAAATCAATTTTCATGCCATCAATAAGCTCATTAGTCTCTTTGAGCTTGTATAGGCCATTATTGAATCGATCTTCAGCTACATATGATTCTTGCCGCTTGTCAGCTAAAAGTTGTATGTAGAGATTAACACAATCCAGATACGACTTCGGTGTAATATAATACTTTCTGCGAAGCTCCTGGTAAAACTTGTCTGCGGCATTGGAGACTGATATATGAATCTCTACGCAAATTTTGGCAACCTTGGCCCTAATCTGAGTAAAAACTATCAATATAGAAAGGTTTAACATTATTATTTGATACCTCGTCTGAAGACAGATCAACAGGAGCCAAAAAATGTTGACTAACGGACAATAATGCTTCTTCGGGCCACTCGTTGAACCAGTCGATGGTGCAGCAATTGATTAGCGAAGGAAACTGACGGCATCTTGCTCTGAAGGCGTCACCAATAGGACTCATGCATAGCACAACGTGAAGGTTATCCCTTGTGCGGTTTATAAAAGAAGAATATAGGACGTCTTTCGTCTCTGGCAGTCCCAGTTTGCTCACATGCTCACGCATATCTGCTGATATCCGGTCCTTTTCGTCCGAAGCATATAATCCAGGAACCTCTCCAGAATTAAGCAGATTGTTTATATCCTCGACAAACCCCTCATTAACTATTTGTGTGTCGGTGAACAAGAATACGGCTGAGTTGCCTTCGACACCTGAAGGATGAGGCTGAATTATCACTCCTGAAGGACTAACTCTTACCTGTAAGCTTATAGAGCTTCTTGAGATCCTCCCTAAAATCATTCATGTTGTATCCCTTTTTAAGTTCAATCTGAAAGCACTTAAATTCCGCAAGAAATGCTGCAAACCGTGTAAGGCTCTGCTTCCCAGAACCTCCAACACCCACAAGCATAGCGTTTCCTCGAGGTTGCCTTAGTATCCTAGCAATGCGGGAGACATGCTCAATGGCATCCTTAAAAAATACTAGCCTCATGATGTTCGTTGTGGTCATATTGTAGTCCTCCAGATAATCCTTGAAAAGGAGTCCAAGTTTTGGTGGATCTTGAACCTACGATAGATATTCGTTATCTTACTGTCAATTTTATAGTGCTTACCAGCTCATATCTACGATCCTCAGGTGCAACCCCTGGCCTTATGTAATCTCCATACATCAAAGTCTTATCCTCAAAAACTTCTTGGTGCGTCGCATTTTCTTCAAGGCTTCTCTTCATGAGATCATGGAGCATCTGTGTAAAATAGCTTCTGTCCTCTGCATTGATAAGCCGATCGTGAAACACTCGCATGCACTCATGCACCCACAGGCCACGAAGAGCTTTTTTTGTGTTACAATCGCCAGGCTTAACCATCAGGATGCCCTGCAAAGTCAGACGCTTGTTATATCCAAGGCAGTATTTCCCCAGGACTGCACCTGAAAAACCTTTGACACATCGCGAAGGTTGAAAGTGTAGTGGGACTTCGCGGGTGTTGGAAGAAGTTCTTGGCTCATTCGGACATAAACTTCGATTGTGCACTCTACTATCGGCTTCTGATATTGCTTGCATTCTGCAGAGAAGAGCTGCAAGAATCCACCTAAAATGGCACCAAAGATGGTGCGTAAAGCAGTCTCTGAGGGAGGTTGAACACATAACATTGTAAAGTGCCTGAAGTATCTAGGCGTAACCTGCAAGGGAGGGCTCAGATGGAAAATAACATAAAGGACTTTTTATAACTCACTTCGTTCCTTCCACCTCCTGGGGGTGCACATGCAGAGACTAAAGTCATATCCTCAATGTCCTTCCAAAATAACTGCAGCCGGTCATAAAATCCTTTAAAGTCAAGGAACTGCCGGAGAAGCTCAATGGGAGGTTGAGCTCCATAGCGTTCCTTCGCTGGCATGTTAACATCATCAACAAAGCAAACAATTTTTTTCCCGACCGGTGCTCCATATCGCGTTTTCCGCTTTTTTTCTAGTTTACTTTCAATAGCTTCCTACAGGAAAAACCAAGGTTGAGGACAGTCATAACTAATGAAAGGAAGAAAATGTGCCTGCCTGGGTAGCAATACTCGTTGTCTGAGCACTGAAGTTAAGAACTATCGACACACAGTTTTTGTTTTCACGTAACCTATTCAAAAGGTCGTAAATAATAGCACTCTTTCCTGCTCCAGAGACGCCCTGAAACAACACTGCTCGATCTACCTCCAAATTTACTTCCATCAAAAAGCCCATCCTCGTGCTGTCTTGAGTAGGC